ACAAGAACTGCCTTTTATTTTTGATCTGCTGGAAAATGATATGCTAACTTCACAGACACCTCTAAATCCATGCTAGTTTTGAATAAATTTGCAAATATAATACACATGCCAGTTTTTATTATCAGATTTCCACTAGCATTTCCAATCGATTTTTTGTACGTTATTAAATTAATGATTTTATAACGCTGTTATTTAATTCATTCACAGATTATAAAAAATTGTATTTAATAAAAGCGAGATTTAGATCACTTGGACTAATAAGACATATTATAGCTTATTTAACAGCTTATAACTTATTTAATAGACGCAATTCTTGGAAATGTAAATAATAATTGTTCAAAATGAAAACCAAACAATTATTATTTTTGCGTCGTTATAAAATAACGACGCAAAAATAATAATTGTTTGCACGTGGAAATGCAAATTATCGTTTCTTAACACAATAAATTACTTATATACCGGAAATGATTCTATTTATTTGTTATGTAAGATATTTTATTCAGTTCCCTCAGTCTTCGAAGAATTATATACACAGTAGCGTTGTCAGTGATATCAACCTTCTGTAATTTCTCATGGATTATTCAATCCAAGTTTGAGATCGGCAACGATGAGGATGGCTTCCTGCACCATTATAAACAAACGAAACGACAATTTTCCTTTTGAGAATATTTTTTACTACTCAAAATACATATTTGAAAAGAAATCAGAGAGAGTGCCGTAATACATACATATATTTACCTAAAATTTTATTGAATTAGCAAATTAGTAATTAGTCACAAAAAATTATTAATTACGTAAAAATTAATAATACTTAAATAAAAGTGAATTACGCATTACAAAAAAAAAGGTAATTTGTCAGAGAAAAATTTCTAATTACGTAAAAATTTGTATAGTAAAAATAAATTCTTTATTATTAAAATAACTAATAATTTGTAAAAAATGAATTATTACTTATTTGAAAATTAATAATGAGTGGATAAGGAATAAAATTAATCTTCATTGTCAGGTAAATTACTTATTTTAAAAATTATTAATTGGTTTAATATAAATAATTTAATTATTGCAGTTAAACATGATTTAAAAAACATTATGTTAATGTTATATATATGTATATATACGATATATATGTGTATTTATATCCACTTAATATAGAGAATTGCAAGAATAACATTAAATATAAAAAATACGTATTTAATCAATACATATTTAATTATATTCGAATTAAATTAGGCAATAAGAGCTGAACTTGATGTGCTGATAGACAATGCGCTGAAGATGACCCCAAAAAGAGTCGAAACGTACGCGGCGTATATATCTTCTGACTATTTTGTAAAATAAATTTTATCGACTGCACATCAAGTTTGGCTCTTATTTAATTCGAATATTTTTATATTCTAAGCCTCTAATTATCATTATTAAATTAATTTCAAAAATAGTTTAGATGAAAGTTGTTTGGTTTGAAGAGGGAAACATGATTCTTACGTGAGTTATGTCGTAGATATCATCGTTTTCAAGAAATTTTAAAGGCGACTAATTTCTTAAATAAAACTTGATTTTTTCCTTGACTTGGAATTTTTATTACCGAAGTTTTACGTATATGTATATAGAGACGTATGTGAGTGGAGCATATAAACGAGTATTATGTATCCTATTAATTACGTCTGTGCTCTTATTTCAATTTTTTGCATTTCACTTTGCCTGATTAATCTTTAACAACTCAATAAGATCAACTCAATAAATCAGGCTGTTCAAAACTCCGACAAATGTTTATTTAAAATGTACTATTTTCTAATTTGGCCGGATCTATTTATACATATAAATCATATAACATGTCGTTATCGTATTATGTATTACATATTATGTATAAACCAGTTAGCTATACATGCTTCATTACGTATCTGTCAGTGAACTTCTCAATGTCATTATTGCTTATATGTTAAGCAATGGCATTTTATATGAATAATGTAACATCGCACATATAAGTGAGTGCATTTATTATTTCTTTTGCTCTTTATATTCTTGTACACTACCCTCCATAAGTTTGGAAACACTCTATGACAGATGCCGTACGTGCGACTATTTACAGATAAATAGTCGCACGGCAGCGATCTGTGCAGATTTTTGGTATGAATATATCGTAAGATGTTCAAATAATCATATATATTTTCACCTGGGACACTTGCAACACTTGTACATGCCGAAAATATGTCGGATGGTTATTTCGCGACACCGAAGTGCTCGGAGTTAAATTTGTTGAACAGCGAATGACAAGTCACAGGTGCACCTTTGGGAAGTTTTCCAGCAAGAATGGAAACGTATCCCGACTGAACTCCAAAAGTTGATCCACCGTATGCCGAGAATATGCAAGACAGTCATTAAAGCAAAAGGTGTGGTTACTTTGAGGAATGTAAAAATTAATGGAAATTCTTTATTTTAAAAGCCTGTTGGATAACATATGTACTATTATGTATACATGTATACTATTTTCTGTATATTGCATTTTATAGAGTGTTTCCAAACTTATGGAGGGTAATGTATTTTGTTAATCTTTAATCTCGGTTAATTTTTAATTGGATGGTATAATATAGTTCCTGATGTAACATAAGTTTATTTGTTTTATTTGCATTTTTAGTTGTTGGTTGTATTTCTTGTTGTATATGTACTTCAGTTTTTGGTTCTTTTCCTCTCCGATGTCTGAATACATATTCTATTTGTTTTTAGATGCAGAAAGTGCTAGGAAATATGAGTAAGAGACAGATTTATAAGTAGCAAAAGTATTTATAAGTAGCAAAAGTATTTCGACTAAAATTATATAGATTCAATATAAATTATTCTTGGATCATTTGAAAATAATAATGAGCTTATAGCGAAAGCCAAAGTACAGATAGAGAGACATAATTAATTAAATTGTTTTCGACAGAAATCAATATGAAAATATTATTAATTTAGCCTCAGCATTTCAGTGTCCATTTCTATCGATTATAAAAAATGAGGTTTAAAATTTTACGTAAGTATATATAAACATTTTGCGAATGTAAGTGAATCTCCTAAGAGATAATTATGAGGAGCAGATATACAAATAAAAGTAAAATGTCAGAGTGTAAGTAATTGAAAGTCTCGGAAAATGGAGATTTTCTAATTAGAATCTCTAATTCATTCTAAGTTATCCCTCAGGTAATTCCAGGAAGTAATTACGATAATAAGCATGCAAGCGAAAGAAGGCAATTACTCACAACCCGAAACTTTTTTCTTTTCTTGATGCTTATATATTCGTCATGATTATCTCGTAGAGGGTTATCTGAAGAATAACTTACAATTGGATTAAATTTTAAATTAAAAATTGCCATTTTTTCGAAAATTTCTCGGTTCAATTGTTCCTGTCTGAATACTTCTTTCCCACATGCTCATAATAATTAATTGTCTCCTGGAGAATTTATTTCGGAATAACTTAGATTAGATTTCAAATTGGAAACTTTCTGCAAATTTTCTAATTCAATTGTTCGCGATCAATATTTTCTTCACCTGTATGCTTATTGTATTAGGTTGGTGCAAAAATATATAATGTTGGTTTTTAACTTTTAACTTAAATGCACATATCTAAACTCAGGATAAACTTAATCAGTCGAAATAACAACTTTTAAAATCTATACATTTTTGCCTACGAGATACAAATTTATTTATTCCAATAATATAAAATATATGGCTGGAGGCCGTTCTCGACCCTCTTTATCTTCAAGGGTCTCATCTTCATAGGCTCTAATTTTTGTTACAAAATTTTTTGGACCAACGTTGCACCATGCATTCGTTGACAGTTCCTTCGCCAAATGCGGCATTGATAATTCGAATCGTTTCTGCTGTTTTACGGCCTAGCTTGAACTCATATAAAAAAATTACTCGAATTTGCTTATTTTCCATCTCTGTTTCAGTAGTCTAAATTGCCCACAAATTGGCATCAATAATATAATCAGGGTTATGAATAAACAGAGCGAAGTTTGCGCTTTGACATGGCGTGTAACATAAACATGGTTAAATAAAACCTTTATCAAAAAGTACAGTGCTAAAATTCAAAAATACAAAAACCAACATTATTCTTGCGCCAACCTATTAATTATCTCTTGAGGAAGTTATTCCGGTTAGAGTAATTTTGATAAAATCCCATTAAAATTACAGATTGTCGTTCCTCATGAGCCAAAGAAAAAGGACGTAAAAATGTTAAGAAAAAATTAATAATTACCGGAAAGATTTCTAAAAAATGGTTTAATTATGCATTCTATCTGACATTTTTCGGGTTTACAAAATTTTTTTAAAAGTAAACTGAAATATATGTACAATATTATGCACGAAGTTCACTTCTATTTTAAATGTGACATTTTCCTAATATATTCCAGGTCTCTATGTTCTTAGATAAATTGTCAATCTAATCATTCTTTTTTCAGTATTTAAAATATTAGATACGCTTTTGTTTATTTCTATTCTTGACATATTGACAGTTTATAACTAAATCCTGGATGAAAAATAAAAGAGAATTTATTTTTTGTGTTTTTCAACTGCGGGATTTACTACTTAACTGGTGGAAAAATTTGTAATTTGTGAAAATTCAAACAGACAGGTCAAAACAGAAGAAGAAAATACAATTTTAAAGATAATTTCTAATTTCGCACAGACTATATAAAAATTTATAAATTCACATTTTATTGCCTTTTTATAAGATTATTTTCTTATACGATTCTTTATACATTACTGGAACATTACAAGCGCGCGCCATTTAGCTTTTTCATTATAAACAGAAGCGATACGAGTGAAACACGCCGCGATGCAAAATTCGAGATAACCAATCAGCATCGCGGAAAAGAGGCCTCAATTCTTCGGTACAAATAAAATTCACTCAGTTAACATGCCATTTTTAAGATTGGATGGATATTCGTCGGATCCCAGAGCATACTCAATGATCAAATGTACACAATAACGTGGTGGGGCTCCGTAACGACATCGAAAAAGTTGACGGGGAGGACGTTTCGCTTTCCACTGCAAATCCACCATTAACTTCTCCCTATATAGACCAGTCTGGTCGCGATCGTCGAATCTGGCTGACCAATATTAATCTCCACTGTGCAAATCAAAAAATATCCGCTGACAAAACTTTAACGTTTGCGCGGACGAAGTTAATAAACAGAGCTTTCTTTAATACGATTCGTCGGGCTAAACGTGGCCCCTTTATCTCTGCGAAGAGAATAATCTTAGATCTGCACATTAACGAAATTTGTTACACGAGCAAAACTCAGTTTCACTCCGTCGTATCTCCGAAATTGATTTCACGATTCGGTATCGGTATTCGCCACAATTTAGAATAATAACGAGGAAACAAAAGTGACTGTGACTGTGACTGTCGAGTGCTAAAACATGCATTATGTCGCGTCAGCGGCTTTTTTGTTTCTACATCTGCAATTTCGCCGTGTTATTCTGCGTATCTGCACAATTTCACGGATCTAACGAAAACGGTATCCATTTACTGCCCGCTTATGCTATCGCCACGAGAGCCAATCTTCTCGGTTCGGCGACATGTGGGATAGAACTACGATATTTTCAAAACGCTGTCGATCAACGAATACTATGGGGCTTAAAGAGTGAGTAAAATCCATTCTTAATCATAATCGTATCGATAAATCAGTCTGAAAAGCTAAAATAATCTCTCACGTTTGTTTTATATTGAATTGTTTCTTTGCGTGTTGTTGAATTGCGTGACTGAGTTAAGAGTTTCGTGGCTCGTTTCTTCGTTTGTAAAATAATTGAGAGATTAAAGTAATTAAATCGTAATTAATTTTTCTCGCGACGTTTATAAAAGTGCATCTATAAATAAAGGTATCTATAACAATAAAAAGTCAAATTATTTCAGTGTTTCATATCTATAAAGCTATTGATTTAATCCTCAGAGACATCATAATTAAAGATTTCGTAAATTATATACGGTATATAATTCATGCATCCCCGTAGAATGTGAATTAACTAAGTAAACTAATTCTTTAATTTCAAGCGATAAATTCAATTGATCGAGTTCGAATGGGCTCAGCAAAAAGATGATCCACTTCCGGGATGATTTTAAATGGGTTTTTAAATTATCATTTAGATAGTTTCACCAACGTCGATTAACTGCAACCTTCGATTAAACTCACTCTTCGTCTCTTTCCAGAGGTTACAAAGAGATAGTTAGAAAGAGATAAAGAATTTGATCAAAACTGGGCCTTATATAGGCCAGTATTCATAGTCAGTTCTTATATTTAAGATCGTCTTAAGTACAATATTAAGATATCATTAACCAATCACAGAGCCGTATTAGCATCTTAAAATATTACTTAAGACGGTCTTGAAATGAGATCCGACTATGAATAGAGTCGATACAAAAACCTACGTTTTATGCGACCTTTTTGCGCTGTCATTCTTCAGCTTCCTTAAAATGCAGGCTTAAAATATGACGCAATAAGGTAGATCGTTTATTATTAAAATTACAAGCTTGAAAAGTGGCGCTTATTACATCACTCGTCTAATGTTCTTTTTCCTCTCGATTAAAGAACAAGCTGGTTCGGGGCGTGTGAGCTGCATTCCGAACGTAATTCGTTTATACACACATTATGCAACATTTATTACCGCCGCGATTGTGTCGTATACGCGTAACTTTCGTTTAGAGTTTAGAACACTTAACCGAATCAACTTTCTTCCGTGTTACACAAGGAACAAGTTTCTCAGCCGCATGTGCAAGGGAAAAGCGTCTGTTACGCGGTCAACATCGCACGATTTTCTCTCATTTCATTTCGAGGATCTTGTATCTCGCGGATTCTAGCACGCTCCGCGTATCGCGGTGTGCCTTTAACGTTATAAGAGAACACACGTTATATAGCTGTACGTCATAAAGAGTATACACACTCTCTTAGGTACACAACGTATATCCAATACACATCTTCGTGCGTGGCTCGAGTTCCGAATATTTTTCAATGCTATCATGTTTATTTATAACAAAAGCGATTTGAATGAAAGTTAAATACAAACAAATCACGAAACATTGATAAAAATGTCATTCTTCTCGTAATTAGTATTACTTTAATTAACAAAAATATACAATTAGCAATTAAAGGATTTTGTAAATTATATATATGCGGTATATAATTTAAGTGTATCCTTATGTAGAATTGTGAATTGACTAAGTAAAATAATTCTTTAATTTCAAGCAATAAATTCAATTACGATATCTCATTGTTCTTAATAGTTTTCCTTTTGTGAAGTGCATAATAATAATAACACATCGGGATTATATAATTATGTTACGTAATAATAATTGAAACTACAATAAAGCAAATCGCGACATGATTAAATTAAGGCGTTAAAAAACATGGAGAAATCTGAACAAAGATATCTAAAAGTTGTCTTTCGCAATTATCGATCCTGACTTCAGCAATTAATAAAGCAATTAAGCAATTAAGTCTCAGTGATTAACCAAGATTGAATGAGAAATGCTATTCAATATTTTTGCGTGAATAACAATTTAATTGTGTATTTTTATCTTCTCAAGCATTGGATTCTAGCGGCGGCCCGAAATCGGGTTTCCTTTATGGAAATAATTTTTGGCTAGGCAGTCGTAGTCAGTGCATCGATATAATAAACACGACTCCCTTCGAGATCGCAAAGCGGGTTATATTAAATAACACGCGCTATCGCGATCCACGGGATGAAATCCCTCCTTTCGAATTGAATTACTTCGTTGCTCATCTCAGACACAACGGTACTCTTCAATACCACGGTGGTGTAAAAAACGAAGTAAGTTCTTCGTGAGATTAATTAATTAGAATATATCGCGTCTCAGATCACCGTAGACTTTTCAATTTTCATTTTAAGTCAAGTTGTGCAGCAATAATATATGTTAACCGATCCTAAATCGCACATTTCTTGCATCTTTCTATATTTCTTGCATATATGTATATTACAATCTAGATAAATCTTATTGCTTTAAAATTAATGCGAGGAAATTAAAATTATTTTGTTGCTAACGTTATTAAAAACATTATTGGGCCTAAACACGTTAAACGCAACTTGTTAGTCATATACATATATGGCATATAATAAATTATTAAAAAAGGAAGTTACAATAAAATTGGCATACGCATGCAAAATAGACTTTTTCGAGAACGTGTGTGATCTTTTTTGACGAAATCTCGCTGATGGACAAATGTTCAAATTTTTTAACGTAAGATTATAAAAAATATGCAAATATTAACGATCGTTGGCGTTGTGCCTGATATTAAGATAAACATATGCTACATAACAGGTTGTTTTTAGGATCTTATTACACTCGGCCTCTGCTTACCCGCGTCCTGCTCCGTGAATAATGTAAGCTTCATTTTGGAAACAATATTTCGTGACAGAATTCTCTTAATCAATGATCTTTATTCCTTGGATCTCAGCCTGATCCAGGTAAAAGACTTGAAGGACGATCATCAATGGCTACTGAGTGGTGGGATGCTTTTCATATGGTACGTCAAAAAACGCAAAAACAACAAAAATTAACATTATAGTTAAAGCAATCATATACGTAAAATTCTCATGTACCTTCCAAAAGCCTGAGGAAGCAATGGAAGAGATACTTGCACATATTAATTTTAATTTTATGATTTCAGTGTTGTTTTAGTGCTTACCTTTACCATGATGATAAGCGGCACAATATACGATATATTCATATATCAAAAATATTTAAAAGCAAAGAGTAAAATTGCCGTTAGTAAGTATATTGTCTAAAGCTTCTTAAGCATCTTCGACAGTAGACTATATATAAATATATAGTGTTGATATAGTTTACTGTCGAAGTATATCGACGTATATTATATTGTGATCTTTCACCGTATTCTAAAAGAAATAATTTCATGCTCTGCGCATTGAAATTATTTAACCAATTTTAAGTAAATATTACTTTAATAAAATTCCACAAAAAGATATTTTTCCCTCCCTTATCTCTTATTATGTATTATTCGTTCCTATGTGTTTTAGGAACAAATATTTAATTTATTTTTCAATATTTAATTATCTCTGTCGACGAGTATCTTTCGTGATTTTTACGTCAATGTAGATGCTAAAGATTCTGAGTTGTGATTTAGGAAAAAACGCGGCCGAGGAGATGGAAATGACAGATTCGTCGGATCCACGTGAGAAAAATAGATTCGGAAACGTACTAATGTGTTTCTCTATTTACACAAATACGAAAATAATATTTCGCACGGAATTGGACGCCGACGCGATACCCGTAATTCATGGTTTACGGTTTCTGAGCATGATTTGGATAATCATAGCCCACACCATATTTTACACGTGGGAATATTTCGGTAAGTGTCTCAAAACACAAAAATTTTAGAATTATTTACGTAATACTGGCGTAACTATAAATTTGCATGCACGTAATATCGTTTTATGTACGTAGACAATAAAGTGTGGGCTTTGAGATTCGCTGAGGGTATCCCCATTCAAGTGATAAGCAACGCGACCATATCGGTCGATACCTTTTTTTTTTTAAGCGGATTTTTATTGGCCTACTTATATCTGAAGAATAAAACGGACATAGAACAAAATAAGCCGATTAATTGGAGGGAGATGTTAAAGGAGTTCTTTTACGGCATGATGAGAAGATTTATCCGGTACGTTTCTCCGTTATCTTGATTCGCGCGGACAATGAACAAAGACGACGCTGTCAGTTAGCGCGACAGCATCACTGGGTACACTAATGAGCGGAATAAGAGAATACGATTTAAAAAGTTCAATTCAACGGCAAGCTAGACAATAGTGTGTGCGAATGCCCTTTTCACGTTTATTAAAGTTAATTCTAAAAATTCGTTTTAAGATTGACACCGCCTTACATGATGATGATAGGAATATTGCAATTGAACACGACTTGGTACGACAAGACCTCGCAATTCTACATTGAGGAGAGATCGCACGAAATTTGCCCGAAATATTGGTGGAGGAATCTCTTATACATAAATAATCTGTTTGGTCATAATTCGATGGTACAAACGTCAATTTAATTACAATATCAATTTGACACGCTCGAAAAGAGTGTGAGAGATTCCTTATCCTGAATTACCTATTGAAATTTCTATTTCCTTGTAGTGCATGACCTGGAGTTGGTACCTAGCCAGCGATATGCAATTCTTTACAATCGGTCTGGCGCTCTTAATTCTGTCGACTGTGTAAGTTAAACGATCATTGACGAACGGAATGTTACACAATTCTCGCGCATATATCTGAAAAAGTAAATATAAGCTACGAATTTTTTTTCAGATATTTTTACACGGCTGTTGCTTTGTTAAGTGCACTTCTAATAGGCTCGATTACGCTAAGCGGCTATATCTCATACATTTACGAATATGTCCCGACGTAAGTTACATCATCTTATTGATCGTGAGATTAATTAGATAAATGAGCGTCCTTTGTGTTATTACAGCTTGGACGAACAGTACAGACTTATAGATGTCTTATACTATCCACCATGGCTCCGAATTGGTCCTTATATTATTGGAATGATCACAGGTTACATTATAACAAGACTAAACAAAAAAATAGTCTTGACAAGGGTAAAGTATTACTTGTACTTTTAGCTAAGAGAATTGGATAAAAACGTAAGCAATCGTTGGAGCAATGAAATACGTAGACTACTGTGTAATATTTGGAGATGTCAATTAAAAATTGTCATTTCTAATGATTTAAAACGTGGATTTAAAATGTCTATCATAAATTAACAATGCTAGAATAATTTCTATAAAAAAATAGCTTCGTTAAAAATAACCAATTTACTTAATCACACACCTATATCTACAAGCAAGGTTTTATTTGCTTGTTATTACTTAATAATTCTGTCAAAAAAGTTTTTGCTATTTGTGTGTGCTAATTGATCACTTGTAAGTTAAAATACGATATTTCGCGTTTTATAATTTAATACGGCTACAATGAGAAATCACAAGTAACAGAAAATCATGTAAATATATAAAAGAATTATTTAATTCAAATTCAAATTATTTTTAATATGCTATAACATTTTAAATATAAATTTCAGAACGCTTTAATTATATACTGGAGCCTCGGTAGCGTTTGTAAAATTTTCGTATTATTCGGCCTTTACAAGCGACAGATATCCGTTCTGTCTACTGCTATTTACGTTGCATTAAGCAGAACAGTTTGGGCTATAGGTATAGCATGGATTGTAATAGTGTGCTCTACTAAGCACGGAGGTTAGTTAATTTTATAGAATATATAGATAAATATTATATCATATCAACGTAAAATAAAATATAATACACTATTCGTAACTTACATTCTATTTAATCTCTTTTTAAAAGTATTTTTGTAATAGCAAAACAAATAGAAATAATGTTATATTTTAGAAAAAAAAAAATTATTCTTGTTATCAAACGCTTGACTTTATTACAGGCATCGTTAAGGAACTATTAACATGCAAAATCTGGATTCCTCTTAGCAGACTCACGTACTGTGCTTACCTTTTAAATCCTTTTATCATAAGTTCGATTCGCTTGCATAATGAAACATCCGCTCATTTAGAGTTTCTGTCCATAGTAAGTACACGAACATTCCAAAATTCCGACATCGACCGAAAAAAATACGCTTATTGTCACAATTTTCGTTTTTAGAGCGCCATGGTCATGGGACACGTGATGATTAGTTACATCTGTGCATATGTATTGTCCTTAATGGCAGAATCACCGTATACCTTACTAACCCGGTCGTTCATCCAGTCTCGCAGCAGGAAAAAATATAAAAAACATAAGATTATAATTTCGCACACGTGATTGCGATGAAAACACTGCAATATTGTAATTGTTATTAAAACCGAATGAAACAAAATCGATTTTTGCTTTTATATTCTTTTATGTACCATTTGTGCGAAACCGTATTAGATTTTGATGAAATTTGGAGATAAGCTGGATATAATTTGCGATTTAATTATGCGGAAGGAATGTTTCATGTGCGGTTAATTCATTGAAACGCAAGAATGCGCACGAATCTAGATTCGTTTTTATCAAGTGGGCATATTATACATAGCATCCACCAGCAGAATTCAGTCAAAATATCTTGTATCTGGCTCGAAAGAGTAGATCAAGAGTTTACAGCTCATTTACAAAACTACAAATTATCAGACGATCAAAGTTCCCCGCTATATATGAACTGGGGAATGTATTCTGGGTGGCGCCGGCGAGGTAACGGATCGATTCGCACGTGAGGCCTGTTCGCGTCTACCTTCCTCCAGCTGCTTTTCAAGCTGCTCTTTCAAGACTAGAAGCTCCCTTGTTCTTTGATAAACAGGATCCTTGAAGCAGACAAAAACAGGTATTTATCGACGAAAATACTCATAAACTATTTAACGTGACAATCTTATTAGATATTTTCACATACCTGTTGCCGCATACTGGGATTCCATCTACAATACAGACTTTTCCACGGTTTGATGTACCGCATACTAGCAACTGGCATTAGGATGAGTTGATAGTTTGTACCGGACCGGTAAAGAGGATTGAGATAAAGAGGTAATTGACTATTGGTATACGACCAGAGGGAGACTGTTCTTTGCTTCACTTGCTCCTGCACTCTCTCGCGTTCGCTGTAAATTTTATTATATAATAACTCGTGTACACAGAAATGTAAACCAAATTGCCCATACAAATAAGTACCTGCTGAACAAGAACGTTCCAAATCTGCAAGAGTAAAGATGATCGAGAATAGTAATTAAAAAATGTTCGTTGAATTCGAAAGCATTAGGGAACTGCCGCATTATTTGCCAAACGCAATCGATAAATTGTAAAAATACCGGCGATCTATCTGCATCGCTGTGGTGTTCATCACCGTGGCCTATCCTCTAAAAAAAAAACTATTTTTAATTATAACAAATATAACAATAATATAAAACAAAAATTTGATTGTGTATCGTAACGGTTCTATTTCTCTTATCATTAATAATACAAAACATCGTAGAAACTTAAAGAAAATTTGATGTACCTGTTGAAATTTATGTCCGAAGCTAAGCCACTCTTTTTCTACTAGAACCTCAAATCCCTTGACTGTTCTATAGTACGGATCTAACATTAACATTGCGAGAGCTGTAAGCTAAAAAAGACAATAACGTTGTATACATGTAAAAAATATTGTAATGTTTCGTCTTTCGGTCCGTATATACTTGTCGGTACTGTACTGGTCAAAATCGAGCAATACAGATGATTTGCATCGTTACAATTTATTGAATTTTTCCAGCTGGAATGTTCGTTAAGAAAATGTATTTTTAAGAATAAATTTTAAAATTTGAATGTTAAAAATATGTTTATTTATATAATTTTATAAAAAGTTATAGAGAGTAAAGAAAAATTTTCAATCTAAATACGCAATAAAAAATATATTTTTCATTCAATCCATTCTCAAAAACACATTTCTTTATCAAAACAATCAGGATAGAAAAGCTTCTTAATAATAAAATTAATCAATTAGAATTAAGTGCCATTTACCTGTGCTGTTCGGTCCCAACCGTCGGAACAGTGAACTAGAACTGAAGTCTTGTGATTTTCGACTTTGTCCACAATTCTTACAGCCCCAGCGAGAACACATTTGATATGCTTAAGCCACATCGTTGATTCTATGCCTGATAGCCAGCGAGCCTCGTCAATTGTGGGAAAACATAATTCTGAAACAAAGTATATATAGACTAAAAGAAAACTTTATATTAGTAAATACCACAAATTCGATACCTTTTAACTTCCTGAGACTTTCTCTCATAACATGTATATTGTGAATATCGAGAAAGACCAATTCCGCATTCTGATAAGCGTCTTCGCTTTCGTATCCACCGCCTTTCGCTTTGTTCGCTATCGCGTTTGGCATCGGCCGCGCGTCCATAATAAAGAGTTTATGACTTTGTGCGTTAGCGTCCATTATCAGCTGGACATACCTCTCGTCCTCGCGACTTCGTTTGCCTCCGACGCCTACTAACGGCTGAGCGCAACGAGTTATCGTCGCTTGGCTTTCAGGATGAATCCATGAGAGGACCGGAAGTCTGCCTCTACTCCTAAAAGATGCGGACGCTTGAAGATCCTCGTCGATCGCTGCGGCAGGTACCGCCCAGACAGCTGGATAACTGTCGCATAACGAATATGTGTCATTGATTTTGGATATTTTCCACATATCGTTATTTACACCCTGAAAATTAACGAAAAGCTAAATCAAGTTTTAAACAAGTCATCATAATGTTTCTTAAAGTACTTTTGAGTTTTAAAATATGTTTCTTGAGATACATACCATCCTCTTTAATTCTGCAATAGGTTCGTAAACGTTCCAACCATTTTCAGAAAAAGTTTCAGAGTATTCAAAGGCAAAGAGAGGTAACTTGTGAGATAATGGAAAAGAATACTGTTGTAGTTTTTCGAATACATCTCGTCTGGAATGGTTCTCCTGCTTATGAGCAAATCTGAGATTCCTCATATCCTTACAAAACACCTCGATACCATAAGAATTTTCTCCTCTGCTCGATGCGCCGCCGACTTTTTCAATCCGGCTAACGACCCCCAACGGCACTTCAACAACGTAAGGTGTTTCTCGATCTATACTACGAAAATGAAGCTTGTAGTTCGTAACACTAAGGATCCCTCTGGCAGGTCCCGAATAAGGACACAAATAGGTAACTTCGTGCGCAATGCCTTGCACCCGTTCTCCATTCAGCAGCGGTGGTCCCGTATCTCCTCCAGTCAAATTCTAATCAAAATAGCAGTATAAATGCCGGTATAAATAACCAGTAAAAATATTGTGTAATGATAAATTTTGTGATAAAAAGAAAGTTTTCCTGTTTTCTACAACTTCAACAGAATAAACGGCAACAGTAAACGTTAGCAGTAAACGTGTTGCAAAAGTAAAAGTGAAATAATAGGAAAATGTTTTACACAACAGAAATACATGGTATTTCAACAAAAATGCATATTTTAATATCTATTGACTATCATTGAAATATTTGTACCAACGAAAAGTGTCACAATTGTGTGTAAACAAAAATAAAAACTGCTATGCTTAAGCATTTGCTACAAACTCACTTTTACTTGATTATCTTTTTTAGCCTCTAGAGCAGAGACTATGTTATTATCAGTTGAAGTGGAGCTTGAAGAAAAACTTTTTGAAGCTTTTTCCCAACTCTCCTAAAGAAATTTATAGATTTACTCAAGATATTTCAATGTACAGTAACATGCTGGGTTACCAATCACAATCTTAATCAAATAAGCTCTGCTTCATACCGATTCCTGACCCATTTTCGAGTTAAGCGAACTGCTCTTGCTGTCTGAGTTGAGAGAATCTGAACTGGCATTCTTCGAATTGCTTTGTTCTGGCCCTAGGAGTTCCGCACTGCCTCTTTTTTCCATACTTGTATTAAAGACAGTCCCAAATTTCTTCACTTTCGTTGCAACATCCTTATTTTCAGCTTCATTTACTATTATCTGTGATCGTATAAACATAAACCATCTGTACATAAACAATTATAAATGTAAGATATGTGACGATTAATTTAAAAAGTTCGTAAATAGTTAATGATGTTCAAACCGACACTTAATCTCAAAGACTTTGAGTTAATATATCAAAATATTGGGTTGATTCATAAATAAGTTCCATTTTCAACAACCTAACAAACTGAATTTGTATCAAAAACATTACAATAAATTGTAACGTTATATATTCTTGCCTTTCATTAATATTCATTTTATTGCAATAGATAAAATAATTAGATTACTGTGAGTAATACTACCAGTTTCTCAGACTTAGTGATTCAGTAATTATCTACAGCGGAATTGATTTATGAGTTCAACTCGATAACAACGCGTTCTCTGAATATTAAATCAGACAGGGCATCCGCATATTTCTAAATATATTTGATAATAAATATTGCCCGAATATGCTTCGGATACTAAACCATGCCAAAGTCACATAAGAAATATATGTATAGTATAAACAGAGTGTAATATTCAAATGCTAGTATGCGCTCTCGACTTCGGTCTCTGTAACATAACCTCACGAAGTTCGCAGCGCTCGGTGATAACACATATAAGCATGAAATAATCCAAATTAATAAGCCAACGACCGGATTCTCGGAGCGCGATGTAAACATCGCACATTACTTTCACAGAAAACTTACGACGAGAAAAGAATTTAAGAGTAGGATACGACCGGAATTGCCATGGAAGAGCGAATCATGCCGTGCCACGCCCAGAGACGCGCACAGTTGGCTTTATTATCCTCGGAGACATGCAAAAATTCCAGCCGCATCGAGGCTCGTGCCGACGCGTCGGATACGAACCTGTTTTCACTTTGTATTTATGCAATGTATCCCGTGGCGTTCGCTCCTGTCAGTGCAACATACTTTTGACAGACGCGGCCATCTTGCACGCACGCGATCGTCGACAGGTGACGCCACCCTCCTCTCCTCGGCTCCACGTGCATCGTGCACCTGTTCCAGGAGGATGGCTGATGGCTTACCGCTACGAAGAAAACGTTTTGAAAACTCCTCCACATGTTAGTTTGGCCTCCTCCTCTCGATTCTTCACGCTTACCGTCAAACGTCTTATTGTTAACACTTTTTGAGTGCCAAGACTGCCAAGCTAATTTCGGCATTTAACTTAATATAAAAGTGTAATATATATTATTTTAATATTTTATTGCTTTTTTAAATGTTTTAATAAAAGCGATATTATTAATTTCTTTAATGTCTTAAATGTTTATTCGTTAGTAAAATTATTCTTAATTAGGTAAATAAGACCGTCACTCACAAATGGATGACATGGTACTCAAAGTGTTAAAGCAGGATTTTGGAAAAAAAAATCTTTCAGGAATGCGTATCTATAGACTTTCGAAAAATCTAATATTGTATTATTCAAAATATACTCCTATTAAAATTCTCATTGTTATTTTTATGAAATTACATTTCCTATAATAAAAATTAAAGATTTTACACCACGTTTGTATGTTTTATCATATAAATATAAAACTGAATTATAACTGATTTTAAAACTAAAAAAAATACAAAATTTATATTCCAACACAAATATATAAAATAAGAGAAAAATGTCGAACAATAATGACGAGTTGATGAAGAAATTCAACTAAAATTATATAAAAATTTATATAACATATATTTACTGATCCAACGAAGTTAGATGAGGCGTAAGGTCTAAGGAAAACCGAAGCTGGAATCGCTGTGGAGAAATAATTTCACATTCATTATACAAATAATACAGAGTAATGTATTTTATATTTTTTTACATATATGTGTATACATTCATACATCCATACATATACATGAATAAGGTAAAATAACTTTCTAAGAGAAAAAAAGGCTACGAGATTTAACTTAACTATTTTACCCAGTAGTCTTACCGTCCAAGCTTACTCCACCTTGACCAACATATCATTTTGTTCTTTTTTTATGTATACACGTATATAAATAAATATATTTCTTACTTTTTATCTTCTTTTATAACGTATATACATATATATATATATATATTTATATAAAAATATATTTTTTAAATCGATTTTTATGTTTTCATTCTTTTCTATATAGTGGAATGAGAGAAATTTAAAATATGACACAGCGACATTTTCCAATGCTAACTAACAATTACATTGTATTTCAGACCGATCCTAAATTCATGCTACCTCGCGTATTACAAATTTGCATTAAAAATTTTTACATTTTACATCGTAAAGATTCAAATGCTGTTGTAATACCAGAAAGCACATTTGTTTGAAATATTATTTAACATCGATTAAACGTAGATTGAAACATTATAAAAGTCCACATATAAGTCCATACACACCCAGTTCGACACAAGAGCAGATCAGTTATATTACATCTCTGTTATATAATTTCGCATTTATTTACATTGTTGAGTCGAAATTATAACATATATAACGTAACTGATGCTCTGTGTCGACTGGACAATATCTATTTTCTTTTCTCGTTGTTATGTTTGAATAATGAAGCCTATAAGTTTAAACTGGTGACGCGATATTTGAGTTAAATTTAGAGACGCAAGGTTTATGATAAAAATTCCATAAAAAGTTTTACGAAATACATATAATTAATCATCTTATTAAATTTTAATACATACATTCTAATACACTTGCTACTCACAACAAATATAGGTATCTTAGGCCATTCATATTCGGAAAGCAGAACAGAACACCGGCCGGAACACTAATCGTTGTACTAATATTACCAGATCAAACTGCTCTGCTTGCCAATGAATATGTATACTACACACCCTTGAGAAATGAAAGAAGAATGAAATGTGAGTATATATTTGAGATAAAATGAAAGTAGATATATAAAAATCACTTTGGCCCTTGGAAAAATATCTCGTAGATAAGTTAACGGCCAACACGACTTACAATGTCGTTTCTTTCTTGTAACTTACAGTTTTACATTATTCCTAAGCAGAGATCTAGATCGAAATATTTCAATTCGATTACTATGTATTTTATACATGTCAAAAATGGCACACGTCTCTCTATTTACTTGTAGTATTCATATATTGGTCAAGTTTCACTTATTATTGATATAAATGTTTATACAGCCGTTTTTGGATAAATTAAATATAACACCAACTCGATTTTCAATTTATCGTGGACTAATATAAGACGAATCAGTAATTTAATTAAAAGATACCGAACACTGAATAACAAATTTGGAAATAATCAGAATCAATGAATGTTTATAAGTTACACGAATAAATTCAGCAAAAAAAAACAATTTATAAATATGGTAATTGATTTAAGATGCGGTTCGATCCAGATCCCTGTTCATAAAGCTTATAAAATCAATAGACGCTACATCACATATTATATACAGATACATAACATATATACTCCTTTTTTACAAAGATTATTTCTTTACGGACTTTTTCTCTTAAAAAATGCGTTTATTAGCAAACTGTGTAACTAAACCTATAAGAAGAACAGACTGCGCATTTCAATGGGTGCATTCAGCAGAAAAAACAGCTCATAGTAAGCGCTCAGTGATTCTTTAATATTAGTTCTTGCCTTTGGTTCCTCGTTGGATCTATACGTATAAACCAATCATATTAGAGAATCTCACTAAGCTCACTAAGTTGCTTTTTGCACTGAATGCTCCCATTCACATATACCTGCTGTAGAAAGAGAAAGGAATCTCTGATAAGCTTACCTTCTCTTTCTGACTCTGAGATAGTGAGATTGAACTGTATTTACACTGAGTTTCTCCCTTTCCTAATCGACCTATCACTAAAGGAGAAGACGCAGTAGGACTCGCACTATTGGAGCAAAAAGTTACCCTTCTCTGATAGTGAGTTTAAATTGCACTCGTTTAAATTCTCTCTTTCCCCTAGCGGTCGACCAACTGACCAAATCGCTGAAGGGACCGAGACTAGGTAAAGGGAAAAGCTTGGTGTATGTGCAGTTCCGCTCATTACATCTTAACTCGATATTTTTGTTCCCCACTGTAAACATATTATTTACGATTAAGGTAAGAAACATGTCACAATTCTTGTTCCAATTCTAGCTAGTCCACTGTTTGTTGTCAATCTTAAAAGTCATTGAAGACATCTTCAACACTAGCGCTAGCGTTTGTATTTGCATTAATGTTAACGTCATCGTCTTTGTAATCGTCAGCGTCAGATGTGAGAAAGTCTTGAACATCATCAGCTCTCTCAATATAAGTATCTGCCAACTCGTCGGTCTTACTTGGTAAGGAAGTTGTTCTTCTTATCTTCGGTGTAAATTTGAAAGCAGCATACGTTCGCCTCAAGATGCAGGGAAACAACGGTCGTTTTTCTCTCTCAAACGCGATGCACTGTATTAAAAGGTCTTTGAGTTTTTTAGGTGTATCGGAACGCAGTTTAGTCAAATTGGGTGACAAGCAGCCACGTCCTACGTTATATATAATACATTGTATCTGGGCCCCTATGCCGACATACGGTATGTCACGGGCAAATAATTCATACATCACTATACCAAATGAATAAACATCACTTTGAAAACTATAGGGATTTTCATTCTCTCTCATTCTCAGGACTTCAGGAGCCATCCAAGGAATGGAACCAGCTAGCTGTTTTTCGTGATCCTTTATATCCTTTTCTTTCTTTTTAACCCCTTTAGTGCTGTCGTCGTCATTATGATCGTCGTCGTCGACGTCGTCATTTGTGTCCGGCTGCTTCTTATTACTTCTCATCACTGCGAGTCCAAAGTCACCGATCTTCACATGAAGCCCATTGTGAAAAAATATATTGCGACTCTTCAAATCCCGATGAAGGATGTTTCGCGCATGTAAATAGTCCATACCTTCTGACGTTTGTCTGCAAATAATTACAATTGTAATCATCTCAATTGGGTCTTCTTCCACGTGCAAGCGCTGGTACAGAGATTGTCCCTCGCACAATTGTGTAATAATCGCAAGATAAGGCTTGCAAATACAACCCATAAATGACAATATACGTTGATGCCGAACTTTACGTAAAACATTCACTTCATTTCTGAACATTTCTATCTGCTCCTGTGTGGGAACCTTAATTTTGAGTTTTTTTATTGCTACAGGTCCATGCCAGTCAGCCTTATAAACTGTTCCATAAGTTCCCTCCCCAATTTCATCCTCGAACGAAACATCTTCAGCCATAACTTTCCAATCTCTTACAGAATCTTGACTGAAGATACTATCTTCCTCGGAATCATTGGATCCTGCATCATCGACACATGGATTATCTTGATTAGTTGATTTCTTCTTGTGTCTTCTCTGTCGGCCGTATCTTCCATATTTTGCATTTCGCTTTTTTGTTATGACTTGGGTGCTCTTATCCACTTTAAGAGCATTCGATTTAGTCGAAAAAGTTCCTATTCTTCTGGAAATATCTCTCCGAGAGACTGAAGGTACGGGTACTGGTCTCGCACGAACTTGGACAATTCCTGTAGTTGGATTATTAGCTAATAATCTTTCATAATAAGCTTTTCGCCTTTTTACATGTTCACAGAGTCTTGACGCATAAGTTACACATTTTGTATGAAATTTTCTATTGCACGCTTTGCAATACAATCCATACAGGACACCTTTTTCGCAAAAATGACAGTAGCCTAATAAAAATGTATTACCCACGAAATGATGTGATAAGAAAACTGGAACAGGAATTTGTTCTAAAGTTTCCACAAATACTTCATTGCATTGCAAAGTTGAAATATCCGTATCCCAAGAGATAAAATATGTTATGCGATGTCTAATGTAAGCTGCACAGTCTTCCAGAATTAATTGCCGACGTTGCATAGGTTTGGCCACTGCTTGCCTTAAAGTAAGCCCTTTCGTTATTTTTACAGTGGTATGTTGATTGTTTGGGAGGTGTACCAGTAGTATAGTAGAACTTTTTTTAGTTTCTTTACCCGTTCTTTTTAATTTTTTTAATTTTTCCATTTCCAGTATTTTTTCTTGTTTATCTTCAAGTTCCATTTCTTTGCATTGTAATTCGTGTAGTTTATCCGTTCCTTCCATATATTCCTGTAGGTATTCTTTCTCTGGGAATGGTTTATCATCTATAACAGATAACCAGCGTTTGACAGCAGTTGCACAACAAGACATAACTTTTCCTATGTTATCTATCTCAAATTTCAATGACTTTTTTTGTAGAAGAAGAGATTGATACGAAGTCGAATGGCTTGCCGTTGATGTTGATGTTGATGTTGATGGAACTGCTAGCTCTGATGGAGTTGCTGGCTCTACGATCGACTGTCTACGATCGGCTCTACTGTCATCGTGTCCATTGGGTTTGATCATCTCATCCTCTTGGACAGCATCTTGGATTTCTTTGTGCAACAGATGGCTTGCGGCTGACGTTGATGCGACTGTCATCTGTAAGATTTCCAATTCTTCGAAGTCGTCAGAATCGGTCATGGTAGTCGCATCTTGGACTACCGTCCAAGTAATTTCGGGCTCTCTGCGCCACATTTTCAATTTAAATGACGAAGCTGTCGATGTTGATGCAGCCACCTCTGCAAATTCTAGACTGTCATCAAATTTATAAGGCTCCGTCATCTTATTTTCATCTTGGGTAGCATTCTGGGTCTTTGCTGCCATACGTTGAGGCACCTTAGTGGATACATTCGTGCAAAACCTAACTGAGGATTGTCTGTTTGAGGGGAACTTTCTATTTTCATTGTCGTTATCTTGAACGCACCCACACACTCCTCTTAAGAGAGCTCTAAATGCCTCTATTTTGCTCACAATAGTTCCTTAACTAATCTTCTAATTTCCCACTTTCTTTTCTGTTCTTGCCCGCACTTTGCTTTTCACTGTACAGTTGTCGTCTCACCGCGCATATGTTGATACTCTTCTTCGATGTACTTCTTGTCATAGGTTGCACGTGCTGCGTCGAATTTCTGTAATCACATAACGATATGCGACATGTAGTTACATTCTTTTGTTGACCAAAATATTTGTCATCTACAAGCTTAACTGTTTTCTTTTGCAACCAGCAACCACATTACATGATATAATATTGATTTATATAATATATAAATAAAATGAAAAATAAAAAATAAAACACATATATAACCCCTTTTTTTCTTACCCTTTATCTTTCCCTTGAAACTCGTTGGCGGATCTGATTAGATTGCGTGTGTGTGAAGCAAACTGATTTCTAAAAGCCTCAAAATCAAACTGTGGCAGGAACGAGCAATACGCAGATTTTAAAGGTCAGTGGTGCGCCGGTGCTGCTGGCGACCTTCGCAATATGATCCCCCCCTCCTACTTGTCACCTTGACCTCTTCACGTGCCCACACTTCTTCTCCCTTTCCCCTTCGCCCTTCCATTCCACCTTCTCCCTTTGTTGTCCAAAATATCGTAATTGACACGAGAATTAGCGAAAAAAACGATAATCACTCGAGAATCGCCAATGCAAAAATTTCCGCCAGCGAATGTTAACCATCCCGATCGATCGGACGATATATGGCTCCATTTGTACGAAGTCCACGGAATATCCGAGATGAGCGCAGCGGAACGCGTTAAAAGTTCATGTACCAGTAATCTACGATTAGTCCCCAGCACAGCCCCGACTGTTGTTCCTTCGCAGGTTTAACGCTTCGCCGTGCATCTTGACGTGCACCCGATCGATGAAGCGTTTAAATTTAGATCTTGTTACGTCGTCATAGCATTTCATGACTTTTGGCTGTCGGCCGCGTTTGACAAAGAGAATTGGCGGTATCGTTGCCACTGCTGATTATCCCGACCACCCATTCGATCAGCAACGATTCGAGCACTAAACCGCACTGCAAATTCAAGTTCACGGGCAGGTTCAAGTTCAATTTTTCCGTAAACACACTTGCCCGTTCACGTAGCGCGTTCTCTGACGTCACTAGAAGTACGCTTTGACGTCAGAGGCTTGTGGCACTATCGCCGAGGCAACGGAAGGTCGCTCCTCCATTGGTTGAACTACATATACCTCCCTCCCCAAATGCGTATACCCAGGGCTGACAATTGAAGAATATTCGAGAACCAGAGTCAATGTACCCGACAAACAAAATCAATATAAGTTATTATTGTCAATCTATCATAATTTTTACAAATTCTTTTACTACGATTGTATTTTGTTTATAACTATTTCAGTTTTACATTCATTCTTTGTACATTGACCCAGTATCCTTGTATTTCCAATCTGTTATTATAAACTACCAAATACTTAAGTCTCGAATTCTTCAAAATGCATTACGAAGCAATTGATAACCCCGATATAATATACAAGCGATAGCTCGATGTGACTTGCACATGATTTAACATCACAAGTGATCCGAAAGCATTCGACGAAATTTTTGGGATCATCTCCTTTCAGCGATACCGTATTCGAGCCGAATTAACACGCTGCACAGTGTTGAAAATCTTTCGGAGAGTGAGTTAATCCGAGCAATCGAAAGGGAATTTTGAAAGTGTTGCAAATCGTCTCCTTTTCATATGGTCAACAGCTATAGAACTTCCATTGAATTTTCGCTAATTTTTATTAAAACATGGCCCTTCGAAGATATCAGAAAACAAGGCTCCAGGCGTCGGCGTTTGATCAGCCTTACTCTAAAACAAGGAGATCCACAATTACTTTTAATAATCGAACACCGCACTGCCAAACATCAAGTATCAGATATCCAATAGATGAGTCACAACAGATTAAGGGGAGAGCTTACATAGTAATTGAAAATAAAATTTGCGAATTTATTTCAGGCAAAGAAATAGAGTTCTTCGTTTAGATGTTATTTACGACTATTATATATTTGAAATATAGAAAATTAAGTTGTAACATAAAATTCATTTAAACTATAGAAGTTTTCTGTCATTGAAGACAGAATCGAAATTTTCGAATGCCTAGCATTTTGCCAAGATTCCGTAACTTCTAAAGAAGCAATTTGTTACATTTCTAGTTTAGCCATATATATCTTATATTTTTTTATAAGTTTTGTATTACAAATTAACTTTCTATATATCTGAAATATAGCAGTAAATAACATCTGAACGGAGAATTGTATCCATTTATTTCTTTCTCTGAAATAAATTTTCATTTTTGCCTTTAATTTGATTTAATTTGACGTCTTCATATTCAAACTTCCTGGCCTACTTTAATTCTAATAAATTTCAATATATAAATTCTTCTCACCTTTCGGTACAAGCACTCTAAACTTTGGTTTGCTCAATTACAGAGCAAATTTATGTCACATCGGATCCACTCCGATGAAATAAAATACAATTTGGTTATTCGGAGTTCAGACAAATAGATCATGTTGGAAAGTCTACCTGAAAAAGATACTCAATTTAGAAAAATGCCTTAATTAACCGATTCACTGATTTTGAAAAAAAAGACCGCCAACTTTTAGCCGGAATTGAATTAAATGAGAAGTCAACAGAATTATTGTGCAAAGCTAAATTATTTTCTGACAGTACAATCTCTGATAATATTTTGCATTCAATTCGGTTTCAATACCTATAGAGTTTAATCTACTCTCGCCGTAGTAGATAATTTTCTTTAGCGATGCTTGTCAAATTTATGGATAAAATGACTAAACATGATAGCGGTCTCCAAATTACTGCTACAACTTCTAAAAAAAAAAAATCAAATCTTTCGTCAAGCGTGCGAGATAACGACTATAAAATTAAAAAGAAAATACGATAAATCAAGAAAGATCTCATTTCAAGACTATCATATAAATTTCTCTTTCCAGAAATAGATAATATATTACTTCAATAGAAACGATTTATTTTTACCACAAGAAAAATTTCAAGACTCGGAAATACACTAATATATTCATTTGATGTGTTTTTATGTAAATACAAAAGTTTAGAAAACAAAAATTGTCGCTCGTAATTTTAAAAGCAAAAATTAAAGTTCATGCATTTGAAGATGATAAAATCCGTGACAAAACAAAGTGATACAACTATCAAGAGACACGGTAGTGTGAGTAGCGTCTCGCGCCAAGTATACGCGAAGCGAAACCACACCGTGACTCTTTTACGCGAACGCACGAGTTGCGAGTACCCGAGATTTCAATAATATAACGAGTGAACGGTGCTAAATACGCGCTAGGATAGAAACGGCACGCAAAATATGACATATAATATACCTACAATTTAGCTGAATTTCTCGCACAGTTCATCTTTTCTCTTTTTCTCTCCAATGTGAAAAAGGAAAAGAGGGAAGATGAACCGTGCAAGTAGTTCAGCTAAAACGAGCAGGCCTCTTGCTTCGAGTGAAAAGTTGGAGGAAACCCATGTATTGGTTCCATGTGGAACTGTACAATGATAGATCATAGATCTTGTTTCGCTATGACCAGTACCTCCAATGCAAATGAACTTATTATATTCCACATGGGTTTCCAACTTTCCACTTGAAGCAACGTTCATCTCACATCACTCAATGGGTGCGTTCAGCCGATACTCCGCTAGCCTAGCAATCGTGAGCAGTCGCTCGTTTTCGCTCGTTTCCTCTCTTTTGACCCAATGGATTAAATGCTTGCAGTGCGAAATGGAGATGTAGCGTCGTACGATTCCACATGAGTTTCCAATTTTTCATGCAAAGCGAGGTCCATCCTATTATTCCCTGCTTTTTGTGCTCAACCACATTATTATGTTATATACATTTTGTATTTCGTGCACTATTTCTATTTTAACGCACAATGGTTAGCACATGATCATATCATATAATGACAGATGTATCCTAACCTTAAAATATCTCAAATATTTTAGCGTTCTAATTACTGAGTTACAAGCGATGATTTTTGTATTTTTAATCTTCTATTATATATAAAAACGCAATCAAATAAGTGTACTTTTTACCAAAATCTTAGATGAATTCCCCAAACTAAATATTTATCTATTTTATACGTAGAGCAAGATTTAAAGAATGTAAGTACATTAAAAGTATATTAAAAGTGATATTTACACAAGAAATCTCTGTATTACCGCTGAGATGAGACGCCGGTAGTCATACTTCGCTCTTGCATATTCAAGATCGTCTTAAATGAGATCGAATGAGATCTTGAGACGCTGTATCACGCTGTATTTACGTGTACATACATACATATGTCCGTACGTTGCACCATATACAGCAGCAGTCATTTCATCGATTGAATGGAGCGTATACGCTTGTGCGCAGACTATCAGTTGATATGAGATTTCCTAACCTAAAAGAATGTCACTCTTAATGCATTATAACTCTTTTTACGTTTTTTCGAGCAATTCTTTCATTTTTCAAACCTTGTTTTGCACACAAAACACTATCAAATGATTATATATTATTACATTTTCATCAAAATCTGAGGTGAGAGGGTTAAACTAAATATTTATACCAAATTTTCTAATTTTGCTTCTATTGTTTCTACAATCAAAGCACATGTAAAATATCATATTCTTACCGAAAGCTTTCTATTCCACAGATATTTCATTCAGTGTTGTGGGATCTAAATGATCGAACAATAAATTGGAATAAATTCTTCAGAACAAGAGTGGTATGTGGTATACGCAAATATCAAATATAAGTACGTAATACGCATGCCATATGATTCGTATGTATGTACATACTTGGCCGGAAATAAACGTCTTTTTAAAGAATCTTTACATGAAATCGTTGGTATTTCGTATGAAAACTTTTGAAGTGCAAAGTGTTTGTGAGAGAGTCATTCGTTTAATTTTAATTAATTATTTATTATTACACCATACATTTAGCCGAAATAGATAAATTAATAAAAGTTTTTATATGGGCCGGTATTCATAGTTGATTCTTATTTTAAGACCGTCTTAAGTAATGTCTTAAGGCCATTCCACGTAACAAAGTTTTAGTTTTAATCGTAAGGCCGTAAGAAAATAGACCAATCACAGTCAATTATTCTCCTCAAATTCACTATGATTGAACAATTTCTTAAGGCTTAGGGCTTAAAACACCTATTGTAGATGAATACTTATCCAATTTATGCTAGGTCTATATACAATGCGAGTCGTAAAGTCGTGAGTAGTAAGAATTGACCAATCACAATCGATTATTATCCTATAATGTGATTGTGATTGGTCAGTTCTTATGACTCACGACTTTATGACTCGCATTGTAGACCTAGCATTAGGGCCCGGTTTACAATCAATCGTACAGAATCGGATGTCGCAATGCACCCGAGAATTTCTTTTTCGGAAACGAATTTTTTTCATTGAGAATTGAGAATTAAGAATTGAGAATTGGGAATTGGGAATTGGGAATTGGGAATTGATAATTGGGAATTGAGAATTGGGAATTGGGAATTGGGAATTTAGAATTGGGAATTGGGAATTGGGAATTGGGAATTGAGAATTGGGAATTGGGAATTGAGAATTGGGAATTGAGAATTGAGTTAAATTATGAGAGTTGAATAAATTATGCGAGGTCTACAATGCGAGTCGTAAAGTCGTGAGTCGTAAGAATTGACCAATCACAGTCGATTATTCTCCTCAAATTCGATTGGTCTATTTCCTACGATTCACGACTTACGACTCGCATTGTAGACCCCGCATAAGATTGAACCATGGATACCGCCTTAAGTCTTTTTTTCTTTTCTTTGATTAATTGGCTTTATCACTTGTACGTGTAATGCTACTTCATACTCGGACAGTGTTGATCGTTTGGTTACGTTAATTTTTTCTATCGCAGCTATTACGATATGTCGAAGCTCATAGCTGGAAAATTAGCATTAGTTACTGGTTCGTAACAGTTCTTTTTTATAGGTGGATAACTTAATTATTAGGAGCTTTTTTTGATACTTTAGACTTATAATTTAATTAATTAAATTATCAAACTTTAGATTATAACAGTTTTCCCTGAATAACTATTCGGTTTAAATTTTATTATATTATATTATATAAAAATGTATTTGTCAGGGCTGAGCAACTGTTACATAGCAATAATTACATTATACAAATACATAGATTGCATTTTTCAAGCGACTGTTAATGCTGAGCAACCATTACGTAGCAAGAATTAGATACAAATACATATATATCGCTTGACACTGACAGATACGAAAAATGTTCAGCACTAACAATTATATTTTTATATAATATATTCTTCAGTATTTATATATTGATAACGTGCCGTATCCAACCGAACCCTGGTTTGAGAGTACCACCAGACCACGTAACGAAAAGAATTGATGTGTTAAGTGTTTAGGTTCCATGCTTTATATTTTGATGAAACTACATTTATGTGATGTCTTTTCGTGTAAAAACGAAAGTTTGAAAAACAAAAATCGGCACTTGTCACAGTAAGACCAGTAATTAAGCGTTGAAAATGACGTATTTAGAGGTTAGAATATCTGTTTACCGATGATGAAATATATGAGCATGCGCTGTGTTGAGATTTGCGATAGAAATTAGCGCGCAAAATATAAAATGTAATATATAATTATAACATAATTTATGTGTTGATAACATTATAAGTAGATGTAATCTTGAAATCTGTGGCACAATCTTGACTTTTTCAATCACGTTATAGGTGCTGGAAGCGGTATCGGAAGAGAAGTATGTCGAGTTTTTGCCCGAGAAGGTGCCAACGTTGTCGCAACCGATCAAAATGTTAAAACTGCTGCGGAGACTGTAGCCACTTTGGAAGGTCCATATGATTCTATTAATTAATATCTTTATCCAAGATTGAAATCAATATATCAGTATTATTATTATTGCATTTGTAACACTAATATTTTTATCCAAGATTGAAATCAATATATCAGAATTATTATTATTGTATTTGTAACACTAAAATCTTAATTAACTAAAATTATATCAATTTTATTTTGCAATCCTCAGCAATTCTATTAATTCTATTTTACTCTATTTTACTCTGTAACTATTTATTACATTATTGATTCAATCTTTATTAGTACGCTCACTATTACAGGTGCTGGACATGTTGCATTGAACGTTGAGGTCACTGATCAAAAGAGTATCGAGACAGCATTTGATCATGTCTTAAAGAAATTTTCAAGACCACCTACCGTCATTGTTAATTCAGCGGGCATTGCGCGGGATAACTTTTTAGTGAAACTCAGCAACAGTAACTTTGACGATGTAATCAATGTCAATTTAAAAGGTACTTTTCTAGTTATGCAAACTGCTGTTAAAGCAATGATAGCGGCAAATGCAACCAAAAACTCTTCGATTATCAACATCAGTTCAATTATTGGTAAACTTGGGAATATTGGGCAAAGCAACTACAGTGCGTCAAAAGCTGGAGTGATAGCTATGACAAAGAGCGCTTCCATGGAGTTGGGACAGTATGTATTAGATATATATATTGATTACTTTATTTAAAATATTTCTTAACACACAAGATAAATATATTATATTTTCTACAGATTTGGGATTCGGGTGAACGTAGTACTGCCTGGTTTTATAGATACTCCTATCATTATAACTGTACCTGATAAAGTTAAAGAATTATTGATGAAAAAAATACCGTTGCAAAGAATTGGAAAGCCACAAGAAGTGGCAGAAGTTATCGCATTTTTAGCTTCTGATAAGAGTTCGTATGTAAATGGAGCATCTATTGAAGTTACTGGGGGACTACATTAAGTTTTATGAATTTTATTCACTATGAACTCGATTAATAATATAATATAACTCAGGAACAATCAGAAATCAATATAAAATGTTAGCAAATGTGACGAAACGAGATGTTGTCACAAAAGTGACTTAAAACGTGCGAGAGTGTTATTTTATATCTGACTGGCACATTTATGCTTTTACTTTTATAGTCAAAGGGAATGTTAGGCACATAGCAGAATATAAATATTACATGGGTAGGATAAAACACAGTGATATAATAATGCTCGTGCATATTAAGCATATTGATATACGGGATGTTCCGTCATGAAACCAACAAATATTACCAGCATGTTTGGATGATCATTGTAAGCAAATAGATGTTCCATGACGGAACATCTTGTGTATATATATATTTTTTTAAAGAAATATATAATATACATGCAATATATCAAAGAAAAGTCTGTTAGACAAAAGAGAAAACCGATTAAGACGGTCGATGTCTTCCTTTCATAGGTGCACTGACTTGCATCATCTTTAAAACTTATTCTTGAAATTGTTCTATTGAGAAAATATGTAACATTCCATCGGTCGCAATATCTGTGAGATAAAGTTTCTAACTTTGAGATAGCACTGTAGCTAAACAATAAGCAGTTGAATCTCTCTCCATATATCCTTTTCTTTTAAATTACAGTTTTGCACGTTTTCATGATCAGATGGATATTAAAAAATAAAAAGGTAGTTTAATCAATTCGAATATGGTAATAGTTTAATTAGAATATGGTAGTATCTGAAAGATACATACAATCATTGGCATAACTTTTCCAACTGCGACCGATAGTGTCAAGTCAGTATAATATTACAGATTAAAACTTTCTCTATTTGCGATGGAAAACTATTTCACTAACAAAAATCATAAAAATTATATTGATCATGCTTATTCACATATTATATATATCATATCTTAATATATTAAATATAAATTTTTTATATTGTAAGTATATATTTTTATCATATTAAAAGTATAAATTTTTATAGTATATTAAAATGTACAAATAAAATATTTGTTTACGAAAAAGTTATACTTGTTAATATTTTAAAGAAATTGTAGGAATAGCATACTATATTAAGAATGTTAAATATGCAACGTGTTTCTCAAAGATTATAAATGAAACGTAACGGAAACAGACTGTGTAAATAATCTCTTTTTATAAAGCGTGTATAAAATATTCCGAAACGTATCGCTTGAACAAGCAAATTATCCATTACAATACACATAGTTTAATTTCTTTATCTTTCAATGTGTATCCTTGCGTAGAAAACGCAATAGACTGTTATTTTCTCTTCTCTTCATAAATAATGCTAAACGTTTTCTACATTTATGTAACATATTTGTAAATTTGAAATATTTATGAAGTAGAAAGCATTCTATAGAATTGTCATAGGCATTAAGTATGCAAAGTTATTTTTGGAAATTATTTTAGCAAAAAGATGATCGAACATCTAAATACCCTATACCCTGTACTAATGTTGCTTTAAATATCTAAAAGGGAACGATTTTTTTTCATAACACTGAATTTGCTTTTTTTTATTTTGCTTTTACGACATTACGAGCGACGAGCAGGCTATCATCAAAGAGCCCCGTAAGAGAAAAAAGAAGTTTCGGCATGACCGAACAGCCAATAACAGTTTGTCAAAGAATTAGTAAGATAGAAAGAGAAGACGTTCTCTAATAGTATGAAATTTCACGGTGAAACTTCTGGGTTCCGTCGTTAATCCGACACGAAGTCATGCGAAGCGACGCTGAAAGTTTTGCAATTCATAATCCGAAACAGCTGCATCTTGTTCCCCGTTTAGATTATTTTAGCGCCAGCTACTTTATTGCTAATTGAAACAAATAGAGAAACAGTTCTTGTGAATCAATTCTTAATTGTTAATTAAAAATATCTTCGGGCGGTTAATTTAATAAATAGATATAAATTTCTTATTACTTTTTTTTTGTCTTGGAATAATGCCGCATCGTATTGTCTAAGCACGTTGAAATAATTAAATTTTGGTTCTCCGCTGTTACGTGTGTATCACTTGTTCATCAAAAAGAAGCAGCTTTTATATCCGTCGAGATATTTTAATCTAAACTGATATGAGATACTAATTTCATAAATTTGTCGAACTAAAGAACGACGTTTCTTTTACCGGCTAATGCTATACGTGAGGCCCGGAATTATAGTTGCGTTTGTTGTGCAACGCTGCTCTTACGCTTAAACGTATAGCATTGATGCGCAATTTCCAGAAATTTCATTAATACACATGTATAATTCTCGAATATCATAAACGACAGACATAAACTTATGAATGCAGAATTAATGCCTTTCAAGGCGAAAGTTTCAAAATATAAGATAGTTGATTTTTAAGTGTTCGATTATTTTTACATGAGATTGTATAAGAAATAAAATATCTTGTTCTGTCGGAAATTTTGGTTGAGCTCCGCCTTCAGCATTTCAACGATTATAGATTTAAATTGAATTCCACACGTCTCAAGATCATAAAATTATGAATTTTAATTGTGGATTCTTTAATTAATCAGAGACACGTCGATCTTTTTAACGAGGATTCGTACACAAGAGCAGCTTACGCTATTCAATTATTCCGAGAATAAGTGAAATTAGTCTAAATTGACTTAAGAAAAATCTCCTCTTTCGTTAAATGACTAGAACGCACGCGAGCACGTGTCGATGAGCTCTCGACGTCGTCGCCTGAATCGCCTCGCGCGCACCGACACCGACCGCTCTAAAGGTTTTCGATTTTCACTCCGCAGGGAGACTCGCGCCCCACCATCATCTTCATTATAATACCGCGAGAACATTTCAGAACCGTTGGTCGGACCACAACACCGACTCGTACGATACAGTTGATTCGTGGTCATCCAGCAGGATAGAAGGATCTATCTGAACAACGCGCATAGCCGATCATCTTCGCCGTGTTCATTATTCTTCCCCTTCTTCCTGAGGGCGGATGCGACAACAACATCCACGTCTCGAAGTTAATATGAGTTTGAAAAAGTCGCATTGTCAGGATTCTCCGACAGGCAACTCAGAAATAGAGATGCAAATATCCATATAACATCGATATCGTTAAAATAACGGTGAATCGACGAATAACGTGATCAACGTGAGGGCCTTATCATCTAAATAATGCTGAAGCAAATACGCAAGTTTACGACAAATTAATGACATTTCTAACAATGTCATCACGAGCATCTTGACAGAGAATTGCAGTTTCATTTGCGCAAAGATCCGCCGAAGTATTTTGTGAGTTTTTTTTTGGTCGGCGAATCAAGAGGAATCGACCGTCAGAAAAAGAGAAAATTCTCTCGCTGACCCTGATAAATCGACCCCCCAAAGATCTGTCTAAACCGTCGACTATGTGGATCCAGTGAATCTCGTTGAAATCTTCCGTAAACGCCAAATACATCGTGATAAATCTTTTCTGTGAACATTTATGAGATAAACATGCGGAGCACAATGCATCTGCCGTTTGTAATTCTACTCATATTTTCCGCGATCTGCGTACACGCCGAAGAGATATCTACCGAGATTTTTAGCAGCGTCACAGAGGAACCGATTCTCCGAGTACGAAGCTTGCCAACGACGACTAATGTGGTCGAAAGAAATTGGACCAGCCTGTCGGACATGCTGGATGTTTTTAGTGCGCGTAATTTAGTAAAGAATTGGGTCGAAGGGAAGTACCCCGTCGGAGTACAATGCGGCAAAGACATGACGATGTACATCGATGCTCTGAAGAATGAAGAATTGTGGGCTCTTAAAAGTAAGCTCAATTCCTCCATTTGTTTATCATTATTTTATCGCTCAATTAATTAATATTATTGTGATTATTTAAATCCCAATTTAAAATTTTTAAAAGCTGATTAATGCATCTCCTTGAAGTAAGAAAAAAAACATCTTTTTTTAAAAATAAATTAAGATTTCTGTAAAAATTGAGTCTCGACGTATAAACAGTAAATATTACATATTTCAAGTGTTACCGTGCATAACAAAGTTTTGTATTTATAAACGCAATGACGTCAGAAAGAAATAAACGAAAGAAAGAAATAAACAAAATAATATTAAAATAATTTACAAAGATAATTTTTATAATTTATTTATAATATATAATAATTTATTCAGGGTGTATACATGCATATATAACATATATAAATAATATAGAATATTATATATATTTATTATTATAATAAATATTATAATAATATATATTATATAAATAAACTTATATTTTTATATTATATATTTATTGTTTCTATTATTTATATTATTTAAATATATATTAACAGTAGATTAACGTCACTTAATCTTGTCTTTCTTATATGTGAATCTTTGTGAAATTATGTCTATACATGTATCTTTTATAAGTTCGTAAAACTTTATTACTTTTATAGAAAGTTTACGAGATACTTACTTAGCGACATTAGCAACTAATAAACATATTCATGATGAATCGTAATTCTTTTTAAAAATTCTTCAGAATTTTTCAGAATTTTGAGAAACTTATACAATTCTCTCTCTTTCTCTCTGTGATAAAATTTTTGCCGATTGATTTAATGCAGTTTATTTGGTAATTGTAAAAATATTGTCGATAACTTCTCTAATTATTTTCATTATATTTTTTAAAATAATAGTTTGTTGAAATTATTAATTAACGTAAATTGTATTTATGGATTTGTCGAATTATTAGCTCTTTGATAAATTGTATTAATGTTTAAATTGTAACGTATACGCTACCTTGAAACAGTTGTCGAACTTGGGTTGTACTTTGCTCCAATGCTTCGAATGAAATGGAACGAAGAGAATGACCTTCATCCCTTTTTTACCGCAGGAAACAGGATTCTCTTCGTTCCTGAAACAAGTTGTCTGCGCAAGAAGTTGTTTCTAATGCATCTTCATTGCAACTAACTTCGTCAACAATGAAATGTACATACATTGAAGAAGTTAATAGATATACATTAACGTTCTATTCTCGTAGATCCTTGTTTTTTGTCTTCTTGAATTATTATAAATGACTACAATTTGAATTACGAGCTTGTATTTTATAATACGCAATCGATGCCCCACGATGCGTTACATAATTGTTATATCCATTTTTGCGTCATAGAAAGTATTTAATAATATCTACATTATTACTTTACGTAATAAATTACGTTATGCTATAGGCGTAAGGCGTTTAATTTTTGATCTGATTACATCGCGATCCGCGTCTCGTATCGAACCTTTTTGTATCACGTGTATATGTAACTTCCTATGCATTACAACTTTCTCCCGCATGCAGCTTTCTACGTTACATTGCGCTGCAGATAATCGTGCTAAATCATTCGGCGAGAGATGCGAGTTATTCGAATCCCTTCCAGTTGCATCACGCGCGGCTGTGGGAACGAAAAGTGCTTTAGCAGCGTAGGTCTCGAAATTGTCCGCCGTTTATTGTAATGACAGAGTCTCCGATTTTAATTTTGCGGGTTCCTAATTTGAGAGCTCCGTGTCGTCGCGCGTGGTACGAGCGCGACGAAGTTACCAAATTACGGCGCGCTTCGTAACTTTCCCCGGGGTAAATATCGATTTCGGGTTTCCTGAAAAATTTACCGTTAAAATTTTTTTCAAGCCGGTATAGCTCTCGAGCTCGAGAAGCGCTCCTCCGTTCTCGGCGCTGTCCGGTCCGCATCGCGTCGCGTCGCGTCGGAAGAAATGGGACATCGCCGACGACGTCACGTTGACGAACCGGCCACAGGAACATTCTCACTAAACAACGTCTGCTTTCCGGTTTCCTTCCCGGTCTGCCTACTTTCGTCGCGAGGTTTCACTTTTAGCGACACAAGAAAGAGCTGATCAAACGTGTCGGCTCTTCACGTGAAACAGTCGACGCGACTCCGTTTAGCGAGTCACGCCTTCTCTCGACGCTTCACTTTCCTCGAGCAATTCGATATTTTCGCAAGCTCGTCGAACGCGCGTTGCCTTGCAGATCGCAATTGTGGTTCTTTTTTGCAGACAAAAAGTCTTAAGAATATCTTACTCGATTTCATTGCTCGATTTTTTATTTTGATCTGATCTACTCGAATGTCAGTATCAGTAAATGTTTTTTTAGAACAAAGGATGCGTATATATATATTCATTATGTATTTTCTTATAGCAATATTATTTTCTATAAAAAAACACTATTGAAAGAACGTTCTTTATATTTTTCAATCGTCCAAAATTTGTGTGTGTGATCGTAGATTGTAACAAAATTTACGAAGAAATTTTCAGGCGTTTAAAAACTAGCGTGATTGAAATAGTATTAAAATAAGTTTCAAAAAATGGTTTAATATTGCGGAATTTTCTTGATATGCGAAACCTACGATCAGTTGTTACGTGTTTTTCTTCAAGTTGTTATGCCATCTGAAAGTATTGCGGCGAAAGTAAAAAGGCGATAGTTCGATTAGGAATCACGTATTATTTGATGCATAAGTAATACATACGAGTATTTATTAATTACAAATTTAATCTCGTATATGCATTATAAACAGTCAATTAAATTTAAATATTTACCTATCACGAATATATTAAAATGTCAGTATTCGAATGATGCAAATGAGATGCTTTAATTGAATTTTCATGAGCCTTTACATTTATATTTAGAAATTTATATTATAGAAGTTTATATTTAGAAATCATCTATTCTATATTTAAGGCAAGACACATATTATATCGCTAATTGCACGTAATTATTTTGGCATTGTTAAATGTGCACTTGAAACTATCTAGATTTAGATCATTCAATCTAAATAAATTCGTCTTCTTTCTCTGGAATTTCTTCACGGACAAGGAACTTAAGAGGAAACCTGCCATCTGTCATTCAGGTAGAGGTCTTAAGTGGGTCAGGGTTTACCTTCTCGCGTTTCGTTCTCGGTGACAACGAAATACCAACGATTTTAGGGAAAGTTATTGCAAAAGTCGACGAGTCGCGAAAATAAAACAAAATAGATAAGTATTTTGCGCAGATCCGCATACCGCACACCGCAGAACGCACGATTTTTGCAAATTAGCACATGAGCTTCAATCGATGCGCTCTCTTTTTCTCTTTCGGTGATCGTCGACGATCATATCGTGTTTATGAAAGAAAATTCAACGAAGAACGCGAACAAACGCAAATAAACGAATTTCATTGAGCGTGGATGACGCTGCGAATACGAGGCCCAAATTTACATCGATGAATGACATTTTATCTCTTTGGTATATCGGAAGAAAAGAGTTCATTACGCTCGCTCATATTCATCGCGATCGTTTACCCGTTCGTCCTTGCTAGCTTGGTCTGAGTCCACCTTGAAGCAACGCTCCTCGACCGGAAAGCATTCTCCTTAACCGGCCGCTACTTTCACCCTCCGCAACCTGTATCACCGTTGCGGTATTCGCGAATTTCGCGAACTTCGTGCGCGAGGAAAGGTGAAAGGCGCCGTTGTACCGAGAGAACATTGTCGAAGGAAAGCATTATCGTCACGATGCAGCGATATGCCTGAAGGGCCATTTGTCCCGAACGTCATCGCTCTTTCGACGTACAAACGTGTTATTTCCTCGCGCGTCGGCCGCGCGCTATTCTATTGTATACCTGGAAAATGTCACTTCCTAGTTTCTATACCATTACGAATCAAAATCTGTTGACAAATAATGCACGTTATTATACGAAAAACGAGATGCCGAGACAAAAATGTCCATAAAAATGCTTGATGTAGTAAAACCTAAGTATTTTATTTTTAAAGTACATCAAATTTGTGTAATGACAAAGGAAAAAATATAAAATTTTATTTTATGGTAGAGTAATATTTATTAACAGAAAAGTGTATGTATTTGTTTCGCCAATAATTAATAAACGAGAAAGACTCTATTTTTATATTCGACAACGTTTGGCTAATGTCGTGACAATTCGACCATTATGGTTTTGGTCAGATTAATCGTCAAGACTTTTTCGTCCATGGGTTTTGGTCGTTTCTTAATTGATTAATCTTTGATACTTACATATAAGCTCATTTTTATTAAATTATTAAATTTATTGCGAAAAATATTACCTCAGCCAGTAATATTTATTAAGTTTTTTATTATACTCCTTAAAATGTACATTTTATTATCATTGATTTATTATCGAATTACACACATCCTGTTTATTCGTGGAGACAAAAATATCCGTGAAAATACACACATATATACTACACAAGCATTTTCACGGCTAAAAATTATAATATGACAAGAAGAAAGTTAACAGTCGTCCGATCTTAATTATTCCACACGGTATTTCACTGAAATATCTAAAAATTTAGCTATATACAGATTTGCAGAAAATAATTTTGTTGCACCATCAAAATAATTATGTAGAACACTCAAACTGATTGCTAAACTGTAAAAATTTTTTACAGCATTATCATCATACTTCTGCGACCTACTATAACTATTTCGATGATGCAACAAAATTATTTTCAGATCTGTATAGCCAGCTAAATTTTTAGATATTCAGCAAAACCGCTCTTTCCGCGTGTGCACGTGTCCTTGAAAGGCGCCGATCACAAGATCCCTCCAAGTTACGTAAAATAATCTCTCTAAGTGATTAGATAAACAAAATTATACACGCTGAGTTTATATATGCAAGTGTATACAGGTTTTACAATCGAGTTGCAAAGACGGAGATGCCACTCGAGCGATTAGAAAGTGGCGAGCCCAAATCGGCATTGCAATTATCGAAATTATACTATTTGAAAAGGGGAAGAATTACATGACAGCAGTGACGGTGGCTGG